AAAGAAGACTGGGATTGGGACATTATCTGGTGTAATATTCCAATTCTGCTTGGTAGTTGACAGGGATTCACAAGGAAACTCAAACCATGTACCCCATGTCATCAAGTAGCCAAACAGAAGGTGTATTTTGTTATTTTCCTTGGTCAGCATTGAGATTTCCCTTTTTCTTCCAGGCTCCTGAGCTCTCCCTTTCCCTCCCAGGCCTGTGTGTGGCTCAGCTGCTCTGCTGACATTTGGTTGTGGAACAGCAGTTGTACGTTGGGGACCAGCTCAGTGGAAATTGCAGAATGTGCTGCTTTTAGCTAAGTTACTGAAATGTTCATTTCAATTCTATGTCTTGGGAGTGGAAAAAGGAGAAAACACACTGAGCAGAGCATCTTTCCCAGCTCCTCCTCCCTTTACATGGCTGCCCTTGTTCAGCAGGGATAGAGAATGAGTTGTGTCTTTGTGGAAGTAGTCTGGTAGCAAACATAATCTCTGTTCATCACTTCTTGGCTGATGTCCATCCATCCCTTCAAATTATTCTGCATTATTTTGATCATTTTCTCAATTTGGAATACAGAAAGATGGTCCCTCTGTTCCTGCTCCTTTCCACACTGTTCAGTTCTTGTGTGGTTCAGGTCATGGTTGATCTGGAAGTACATGCACAGAAGGGGTTTGTGTGTGTGTGTGTAGATGTTGATCTTTGTATGCATTGTGATTTTTATTCAGCATCTGAATCCTAGCAAATTTTCCCCCATAAAGCCTTAGTTTCATTTTCAAAGACCCCAACCTTGTTGAAAATCAGATGAGTTTGGATATTAAGAGGTAAATTCCAGCATTACCTGACTGTACAGTTTTAGAAGGCATTGTCATTGTGGCAGAATAAGGGACTAGCAGAGCTGGCAAAAGAAACCAGAGCCTCACCCACCAGAACCAACACATCCTTTGGATCTGCTACTGATATATTTTAAGCTGTTTTCTGTCCAGGAGCAGTGGTACCTACAACATTTGACCTGTTTCTGCTGGTACAGGCAGAAACTTTCAGCAGATGGAGGTGGTGAGCAACAAATTCTGAATCACTGGTTCAGCAAATGCCCAACCTTTTTTTAACAGCTTTGATTTTCTGCATTACTTTGACTCTTAATTTTTCTTTTTACTTTTTTAATTTTTTTTTTTTTTGGCATCTGTTAAACTACTTGTAAAAGAGAAGCAGATCTGGAGAGTAATGGAGTGAAATTATTAGCCTTTTAGAATCAGATGATAATTAAGCCAACATGAGAAGATCACTAACTATAAATAATGCCAGAGAAAGTAAATTCACTAATTCTTATTTACATTATGGAGAGTTTTGGAGCCCTTTGTACTCTTTGAGGCCATAAGATCTCTAAAGTTCATAATGAAAATGAGAATAGGCCTTTTAAATAGTTTTATTTAAACAGTTTAACCATCTTCATTAAAACATTTCAAGAGCAGCGGTGTTTTCCTAACAGTAGTGATATTTCAAGTAATTTTTCCTGTGCATTTCCCAAAGCTGAGCCACTTGAGGAGAGGCAAGCACACCAAGATGGCAGAGAGAAACAATTCCTGCAGAGAAGAGGATCTGCTCATGTACAATACATCGGTGACAGCTGCCATGTGCCAAAGGATTGTGTGATGGAGGACACGGCAATGTTGTGGCATTTGCTGGAATGCAGAGGCTCCCCATAACGTACATTTTGTTTCTGCTCCATCTCATTGCAGAGGCTAAAATAAGCACTAACATGTTTTATGTAGCAGAAAAGTGGTCTTTGATTTTCCTGCTGCCTCTGGCTGGTTTCAGCTCAGTTTTGTGCAGCACAGGAACATTGTGGGTTGCTGCTGTTGGCCGTTTCTCTTTGGGACTGTCTTGCTGGCCACTGCTTGTGCTTGACCTATGCTTGGCTGCTCCAGGGTTGGTGTTTCACAGTGCTGTAGATACTGAGAGTTCCAGAGACTGCCTCTTACATCAGCCAGAAACTCTCACTTATCCTGTTATCTTTCACAGCACCTGTTATTAAAGCCTGTCTTTTCCACTCAGGTTTTCTTTGAGCAGTGTAGCAAATAAAAATAATCGGTTGCAGTGGTAACAAAACAACACACAATAGGACCTTGCTCCCTGCAGCCTGGTGCCTATTTCCCATGGATATTCTTACCACGATGCTAAAACTTCTGTTGTGCATTTCTGACACTCTAATGGTTGTATATGCATGTATTTAGTATATTCTCAGGCTCCAAGCACTAGAAGCACCATAGGTTCTTTAAATGTTACCCTTGAAAACTTCAGCATCTCTTCTTTTTATTATTTTTATTATTTTTGTTATTTTTATTTATTATTTTTGTTATTCTTTTTACACTGCTGCTGGTGTCTTTGGGAGACATTTATTAGTTAAGGTACAGATATCCTCTTTCACTGTTACCTAGTTTGGCATTCACAATCTCAAGTCCCTCTCCATCATTTCATTTGCACAGACGCAGTAGTTAAGATAATATACTTCTCTACTTGTAATATTGTTCTAAGTTATAACTTTTAACAGATTTCCCACCCAGCCAGATGTTTCAAACAAAATTCAGGGAATCTTGACTGTTCCTATTTTTTTAAATCCCCTTTATAGGCCTGTTGGGTTCCTGCTTTCTCCAGGAATCTTTTTTGCTCCCCTCTTGATATGCATACCTGGATGCCCCTCATCTTGTCTGGCATAATAGATCCTGGCATGACCAAAAGCTTGGGTTTTTCCTGTGAAGTCCTTGCATTTTTCTTTTTTATTTTATTCTACAAACTTTCTTTCCAGAGAGCCCTAAGCTCATCATTTCATAAAATCATGGGAAAAATTAGATTGAAAAGGACTTTTTGAGTTATTTGATAGATCTTCTATTTTCAAAGCAAGGCTGACTTCAAAGTTAGACCCAACTGGGCCCTCACTCTGTCAAGTTCTGAGTCTCTCAAGGAAGAGGCTTCCACAGCTTCCCTGGCTGACCTGTTCCAGTGCTTAACCGTGCTTGTGATGAGAAACTTTCTTCCTTAAGTAAAAGAAAATAAAGATTCAATTATTGCACCTTGTGCTTTTTGCTGCTTGTGCTTTCATTGTGTGTCCCTTGGGAAAGCCTGGCTTTACCATTCCATGGAGCTGTTGTGAGATTGCTGTTGGATTTCCACCTTCTTGGCTCCATTTTAACCATCCCACTTCCTACAGCCTGTCCTGGGTGTCCTGTGTTCCAACCCTCCTGCTGTCCCAGTGGCTCTTGGCAGAGATTATTGTTGCTAAAGTCACTGGTTTTTTTAATATAAAGGATTAATTTGAGACTAAAGAGTGAAAAGATCCTCCTGATCTTTATTTTTTACTGTTTAGTAAAGATGTTGTTATCCTTCTCTCATGCCGCATTTTTTCACCTGACATAGAGTTGGTATTTTAGATTAAAATGAGCTCTGAGAGTTCATGTTTTCTCTACTTATTTGTTTGGAGACTTCATTTTGCTGCTTTTCATACCAAAGATGTTATTTCCCTAGGAAAACTGAGCTTCATGGCACCCTTTCAGGATAGAGAACAGCTGTCTGATCTTATCTGAGCCTGACAGATTCCTACCCTTCCCACCAAACTCCACTGTCTTATTGAAATAATTACCTGTTCATGCAATCTTTGCATTTAAAAATGATCTGCATACATATGCTTGGAAAGTAGGGCTTATTTTAATAACGTGAAGGAAACACAATAAGATGTTGGAGAGAGATGCCATTACAAGTAGAATTACTTTTATCACTTCCTTGTTCCATCACCCATTTCAGTGTAATTGTCTTATTTATATTGGCTCCTCCTTTGGAAGAACACATAGCGATTTCCAAATTGTTAATTAAAATCTCACAACACTTCTGTGATGTGAATGACCTAAATGAAAGAGAGTAGATAAGGCCTTTCTAAAGCAACTATTGTCTTAAGTATTTTGCTACATTTTATCTATCACCAAAACAGAGATCACTTTTTTTTTGGTTCACCATAGTTTACTTCTATCAAGATGTCAAATCCTTACAAAGAGAGAGATTTCTTGGCATCATGGGGAATATCCCCCATGGTGGGCTGCTGGTTACTCTTTATTCATCCATGTCTTCTCTTTCTCCTTCCTCTTCTGAGGAAGCCTGTGCTCCTTGCTGTACAATGTCAAAAGTGGGATGAATCTTCAAGGTTTCTAAAACTTTGTATTATGTTGTAACTGCTGAAGGAATTCACTTGAAATAGAACCTGGGCTGCCTGGATATGAATGTATATTCAAATTTTGAGAAGGTTTTTGAAGAAATACATCCAGAGCAGCCAGTTTAGTTCTTCTCACTATTAAGAAATGGGTTTTTCCCCCCTAAGCTTTCATGAAACTCTATGGTATTTTTTATCTCAGTAATAATTTTCTTTTCTTCCCTCACACGCCACATGTTGATTCATTCAAAACATTTTTCTTCAACCTTCAAAGGATTCCTGGTGTAAGAGATCTCCCAGATCTCTTGCCTTTGTAGCATGCTGTCTATTTTAGCTAATTTTACATAAATTCTTTCTCCTCGCCGTGTATTATTCAGTAGCTCTTCCTATTAATCAAGACATCATTCTCTCTTTACAAAGGTGTTTTTTAGGCAGTCAGTTTAAGTTTTATATAAATTTTGGTGTTATTCTCTTAGTGCAACCGGCCAGAGCACAGAAACATGTCAGGGACTGCTCACACTCCAGGCTCTTTCGCTTGTCTGCCCTAATGAACTTCCACTGATGAATTCTCTTCCTTTCTTCTCCCTCTGTTTTGCCCCATCCTTTCCCTCCCTCCATCTCCTCCTGTGTTTGGCACTTCGGATATTGTTCAGGCCCTGAGCAGAGTAGCTCACTTTTCGTTTTTCCAAGCTTCCACCCACCTCCCTTCTCTCCTGCCAATGCACACACATGGTGCATTCATACACATGTCAGTATGATGCTGAAATCTTGGAGAGATAGATTTGAAAAAGGTAAAGAAAATAATTAAATACTTGTATCTTGAGATGGCTGTGGAAGAGAACTTCCAGCTTAGTGTTTGCAGTTTATTGTTTAAATTAGTAACAAAAATAGTTTATTTTAGCAAATGTAATCACATTTTGCAAACAAATACAGATTTTTGTAAAGAAGCAGATTTTCCATGAAAGGAAACTTCTGTTTTGTAGAACAGCAGTGAAAATAGAAGGCAACATATGAAACTACTTTGACTTACATTATGATTAATTCATAAATAACTAAGAACTATGTTCAAATGCTTCTTTAAATTTAACCTGTAAAATCAAACATGATTTATTCACTTTGCTTGGTGCTGTTTTTATATAGTGATGTAGCAGGCTACGTACAATGATTTACACAAAGTACTATGCTTGGATTATTTTAACAATAATTTAATAGGATCTGAGGCCAAATGGTGTATATCTCACTGTTTCTGCTTTATTCATGCATCATAAATTGAATAGCCAAGTGTTTGCAGGAAAACAAAGCTGGGATTGGCATCAGGCATGCCTCTGTTCATACATACAGAACAGAATGTGCTCACAAGTAAGTCAATATCCCCAATATCTGCAGAACAAGAGGCTGTTTGGCACCTCTGGAAAAACTCACATCATTCCAATGCCTCATTGGTCAATTACCTCAAGTGAGGTACTTGTTCTCTGACACCCTCAAGATTTTGACTTTTATATTTTGCATGCCATGAATAACGCTGCTCCATGATTAAAAAATAGGTCTGATAAGACACACAAGCTCATACAGTAAAAACTCAGTAAAATACCTAATGATGATGAGCTCTTTATATGTGCAATCCAAGCCCTCAATTCATCTGTGTCTCCAGAAATTAAATTCTTTTTTTTTTCCCTTGATTTATAGAAAATCCATTACAGAGTAACAGCTCAATCCTATATCTTTTTTTTTTTCTGCTCCTGGGGTTAGAGAAGTTTTACATTACAAATAAATTTCAGCAAAGTTAAGGACTTGTCCCCAGTTCTCCTCATTTAAATACACAGAGTTACACATATATAAATGTTCCTCAGAGAAATCATGGTTATAATTGCTTTGGATAGACATTATCTGTCTATACCATAAATATTTGGGCCACAGTGCTCTGGGGTCTAATTTCTGCCATGATCAATCAGTGTTACTGAAACTCCTGCATTATTTAGTAATTGAAACCCTGAGAAAATCTCCAAGCCCAGTTGAATTCAACAGTTTATCCTGAGTAAAGAGAGAATTTAATGGTACGCTGAGCCACATTAAACAGGAGAGAAGGCTAAGTTGTTAGGGCCTGCTCCTGCTTTTGTCATTGAAAAGCATTTGGTATAAACCCTTTGCAAAACTAGGGAGATAAAATCCTCATTAGAGGGAGAACATCAAATTCCTATAGGATTGTAGAAATTATTCATGAGAGTTTCGAGTTATGAGATTTCAGCTCATACTTTGGTACAAAAATGGACCTCACATTTTGTACTCATTTCCTTTAACAACTAAGTATAAAGATATCTTATTAAATCCAAATATATTTCATTTGCCAAGAGCTACACTAAAAACTCTTAAAACTGCAAAAAAATCCTTTTTTGAAAACCTGAAATAAATAATTTTATTGTCTTTCCTACAAAATTCAAAATTCAGAGCTTACTCAATGCAAAATTTTCCTACAATTGTTTGAAACTGCATTATGTTTTGTCATTTTAGGGTATCATATGAAATGATACAGCTAAATGAATAAATTAGTGTTAATTGTCTATAAAGAGGTCAGATGTTTTGGTTTAATGTGTTCATAAGAATGTTGGGCTGAACTGTAAGATCAGCTTTAATTGTGAAGTAAATGACTTTTTAAAAAACAATTTTTTTCAAATTGATTAAAAAAATATCCAGGAAGGTATGTTTGTAGAACTCTATACCCACACATAGAGGCTGACACAACACAAAAATTAAAAAACACTGTACAAAGCTATAAAGAGTTCCAGCTTCACAAATCAGTGCCAAAGCAAAGACCATGATCTGGCAGCAACTGAAAGTTCCCCATTAAAAAAAGAGATTAATGATAGAAACCTAAAAACAAGAATCTCCTCTCAATCCAGGAAAATACATCCTGTAGCTTTTAATAACTGAAGAGACTGACGTGATGTGGAATCGCTGAGATTTTGCTTTGTTGGAATTCAAAGGAAGAGCTCACTGCATTTCTGTAGGTACAGCAGATTTTTCCTCATTGTGCTACAGAAAAAGTGGCCGCTGTTATGTTGAGCAGGGGAAAAGGGAAACTGAAAAGGTGAAGTTGTGTAGGAGTACACCACGACCTTGCTCTTGCCAAGTTCTTCATAACGACTGCCAGATTTTGCTTTGCACTTATGTAGGACAAGGAGAGAAAACTCTGGACAGAAAAGAAAGTGAACAACACAGAGCTGCTTCTTCAGCCCTCACTCCTGGCCAGAGCAGCAAGGCTGGCCAGGAGCACTGCACAGATGGCATCAGGGGAGGAAAAAGGAAAGTTTTCCTTGCAGCACTTGGAGTGGTTACAGTTACAGAGTGCCTCCCCAAATAACGAGTTTAGATTAATTAAAGCCTAATTAATTGTATTATAAATAGCTATAAAAAACATTGCAAAATTAACCTATCTCTGTGTTTCTTAAACCTCAGCATTACTGGGGTTTAAGATTTTAGCTTGCTGCTTCACTAATGTCCAAATCTGAAAACAGAAAATCTTATTTGCCTTTTACAGTTACTTCTGAAAAAAAGTATACAAGTTAGTAAACTGAGGGGAGATAAACAACCTCAGTGATGTACGGGGCAGCTATGGAACTACCTGGGTGATGGGTAAAAGCCCTTGGGAAACCCTCCTTGCCCGGCAGATTTAGGAATATCCTGTGCTATTTAAAGGACTGGCACGACTCGCCCTGTTAATAAGAAAAGAGCATCGCTTACACTGCACTTCTCCCCTTTCCTCTCCTGTGCTGGATACATCCCGTGCCGCAGCGCCTGTGCACAGCCAACCGGGCTGCTTTCGCTGGAAGTTTTCCGACTTTCTGTGAGCACCTCAAAATAATCTTCCAGCATGGCTGAGACCTCTCAAGCATGTCAGCTGTCGGCATGGGCCGTGTCCCCGGGGGCTGGCGTGCAGCCGGAGGAGTGGGCGGCAGCGAGCGCTGCGTGCAGCCCGGGCTGCGCTGGAGGCGTCGGGCACGGCGTGTTCACGGCAGCTTCCCCTGACAGGGGACACCGTGTGTTTGGAAGTTCAAGTTTCATCATGCGACACAGGTTTAGGAGGCATCAGGATCAGGGCTTGGCTGCTGAGGTTTAACATTTCTCGCGCTAAAATAGCTGCCGCACCAGGTGCAACCGTGGTGCCTCAACGGAGGCAGCGAATTTCATTTGCAAAACATCCTGAAAAAACCCCTCACAATATGAAACAAAGCGTATAGGCTTAAAAAGTAACTCTTTTAGGACTGTGCTATCTAAATGTAAAGGTGCAGCACGAGTGAGGCGATGTTACCCAGAGCAGTGGTACAGTCAGAGCAGGAGTGCTGCGAGACCCTCAGCCTGTTCAGAGTCCGGTTACGGCTGGACCAGGTGATGGTTTCTCTTTTTCTCGGTGCTGTTCGATGGATAAAAACACAGGTTAGGAGGTACCAAGGACAGCACTGAACCCTCGGCTGGTTCAATCCCAAACCAGCGGGGGATACCCATAACCACCCTCCCCAACAGAGCCGCAAGAGGCGTCCAGAAGCCGGCCCTTACCCGCTGCCGCTGGTCGCTGAGGCAGAAGGTGCAGATGGACCGGGGCGCGGAGGCAGCTGGTGGCGAGCAGGGCTGCGGGCAGGGCTGAGCGGGCTNGGAAAACCCCCGCTCCTCCTCCTCCCGCTGCCGGGGGGGCCTCGCCTGCGGCTCCCGCATCCACCGGTGTGACCGAGCCGTGGCTCCTCGTGGGATGGATGTACAAACCTCTGCGGTTTTTGCCCGCTCTGCACCCCCGTACTCCATATCTTTTCCAGCCGTGTGTATGTGTGTGTGTGTATGTATGTCACAGGATCATTCAGGCTGGAAGAGACCTCAGAGATCATCGAGTCCAACCTTTGACCGGTGGACAAGTTGGTGACCTTGTCAGCTAAACAACAGCACTGAATGTCATATCCAGCTGTTTCTTGAACACCTCCGGGGGTGGTGATTCCACAACCCCCCCGGGCAGCGCCTTCCAATGCTTGACAGCTCTTCATGTCATGAAATTCTTCCTGATGCCCAGCCTGAACTTGGAGGCTATGTCCTCTTGTCCCTTCACTAGTTACCTTGGAGAAGATGCTGGCCCCCTCCTGACTACAACTTCCTTTGAGGTTATATTTTGGCTGGAGTGGGCTAATAGATCAAGAATGGAGGTGGATTTCATTGCCTTCCCCAGGCAACACTAGACACACATACAAATCCAATTTCTCATTCTGTTCAGAATGAGTGTCTGCCTCAATCATTTACTTATTAAAAGGTCATCATAAGCACTAATTGATTACACCTCTTTTCTTCATAAAAATTTGACATCCTGTCTGAGCTCAGAGACTCATGAAAGGTCATGGCACAGGTTTACTCAAATGACTCATCACTACCTGATTAAGCAGCCTCAACTGACTCTTTTTCTGTGGTCCTGGAAGCTTATGCGGTGGCCTAAATATGAATCCTTCTTCCCAAATCAGGGCTGGATTAGCAGAGTCATATCTCTCTAATCATGGGTGCACACACTAAGGGTAGGCAGCTGCTTAGACATGTCTGGCTGGGACTCGTGTCCTCTCAAAATACAGCTGGTACCAACTGGCAGGGCTACATCTCTTCAGTACATTCCTCTGCTGGGATGGTAAAGTGCTGGTTTATGTTGGTTGCACTTTCTGTTTGGGCAGAAGTTGTAAGAAAAAATGGACAAACAGCTCTGTCAGCCAATTGCAGCTGTATTCTACCTTGGCCTATTAATGAGCAACACTTCTTTCATGTGACTTTCCTTTGTATTTCTTGGGAGAAAGAGGGGGAAAGTCTTTTGATTTCCCATTGGATCATGTTTTGGAGATTTTTTTTTTCTGTAGCAAATTATTGCTGCAATAAAATTAGCTTGAGGTTGAGGTGTTTGACAGCAAAGGCTGAAGAAATGCAAGGGCTGGATGGGCAGGTGTATGTCATGCTCCTGGTTTAAAGGAATTCATTTGCAATGACAGCAGGATGTGGCCCTTCATCACCAGATGTTGGGGAAAGCTGTGTTCAAAGTCATGCAATTTTCCTAAAGTTTGTGAATAACCATATCCTACTCTCACAGTAGGATATTCTGTCTCCTTAAGCTTTCAAAAGTTACATGATCTAGAAAGTTCTGGAGTTGAATTTCAATCCTTACAAGTGCTGCTATTTTGAAGTCTCCAGGTAAGCCTGTTCTGTCCTCCATGCAGGTTTCTTCCTTTTTGTCACCTCCAATATTTCTAGAATGAGATTCCTGACCAGACAAAGCCAACGACAAAACTCCCATTGACTTTAATGGGGGTAGGATTTCACCCTTGATATGTTCTGGTAGCTGAGCACTGGAGATAATTGATTCTTTGTCAGACTCACTCATTTGCTTACCAGAGTTTTCCTGTTCTTAGCATCTCAGTTTCTTGGTTTATTTTTGTTTTTTTTTTTTTTTCACTGGAAGTAAATCAAAACAAAATCAACCCCCTTCAACAAAAAGAACCCCGAGACAAAACTAAAACTGGTGTTCTCAAAGTCAGAATTTATGGTTTATTTATAAACCAAGAATGAGAAAAGGAAGAAGTGATACTCAGGGAGAAAATGAGGCTGTGTCTGCAGAGAAAACCAGAATGATTTTCTGTGACTTTACAGCAATAGCTAATTTGGGGGTTAAGGAGAAAGAGGTGGCTGAACAATTCTTGTTCTGTTTCCAGGGCAGTTGGAAATAGTAATACAAGAAATGTTTTGTTGTTTTTTTTTTTGTTAGATAAGGAGTGTTGTAAAAAGGCCAAAATGCTGGTGACTTTAATTACTAGGTTATTGATTGGGATAATATTTATGCAAGTGCTAGGGGGAGCATATTCCTCAAGGAAGGTGCAGCATTGCTGTTATTTTACAATTTGCTGAATCGTTAATAGCAAGCAAGAATGGGGCTGCATGAATGCAAAGCAGAAGAGTGGGCAATATCTTATGTGCAGTGATAAGGTTTTGCCTGAAATTTGCCTTTGTGCTACATGGAGAAAGTTATCTGATAGCCATTGTAAGGAAGCATTCAACAGTATTCAAAAGACTGGAAATATGAAGTATCTCACTGATTAGTTGCAGTCTAGTGGCTGGTATTTCTTTAATTTGCTTTTATTTTTTTGAAGAGCAGCGTTAATAGGAAATAAAAAAAAAGGAATTCAGGAGAAGGCAATTTGGAAAAGCTATACCTATGAAAAGAGCAAGTTATTTAGAGGATAACAAAAGAAGCAAATCTAAATTAGCAGCGCTGAATGTCTCTGGTCACAGCCCAGAAACCTTCCAAATGTATTTCCATTAAATAGGGAGTATAACACAGAATTGTTCACTTGTTCAAAAAAAAGAAGACATCCAGAGACAAAATGCCTTTAAAAAGAAGTACTTGAATGTTTGCAGCTTCATTCTGGGCCTGCAGGTCACACTGACTTCAGTGAGACACTTGTTTATTCAAGAGCAGAAGTATGGCAGCATCCTATGGACAAAATTTTTGGTTTTATTTTTCCCAACTGCTCATATTTTTCTGCCTCACTCCATGCTGCTTCTTGCCACACACTATGTTTTTGAAGGATTATGCTCTGTTTGCCTTCTCCATCAAAGCCATTCCACATACACATGTATTTTTATTCCTGCATACAACATTGCTCACACAGATGAGAAGATATTTCTGTGTTGTAGGCAAAAGCAGCACAGATCTTGTACAGATTTCCAAACTGCAGTTTTTATCTGTTTTACTAAGTAGGATACTTCTTCAGTGCTTACCTGATGAAGCAGGTGCATGCAGTACTTCAATCACATTTGACAGAAGGGAGAGTCCAGCTCTAACAAAGAGAAACAAATACAGGATGTTGATGGCTGGAAATGTCTGCAGAGCTGAAAATAATATATTTGACAAAGTGTTATCAATTATGTGTCTGTCTCAGACTTTGGCTGTGACAGCTGCTACTGTCCTGCACAAACCTGGGTGATGGAGTTGTCATTTTATTGCAATTTTTAATAAATGTGACTGCCATAAAATACCTGTTGATTGAAGAGTGTTTCAAGTATCATTTTACTCTATACAGGTTCTTGAAGGGAGTGATTTTAAGGAGAAAAGATTGAGGAGTAGTCAAAATATGGGATGGTGCAAGAGAATTTTTTGGAGAAGGAGGGCTTGTGCAGAGCATATTAAATGAGGAAAGGTTAATCAGGAGGTGGACTTAAGGCTTCATGTGTTAAAATCCTGCCAGGTGGGATGGTGAACCTTTCAGATTGTAATAAATATCCTGCACACATATTGAACCCTCAGTCTGCTACTAGAGTGCAAGTTCCCAGGCAGGGGAGGAGCAGGAGCAGCTCTGCCCTGCACTGCTGGTAGTTGATTAATGTGGGATCTAACAAGTCCCTTCTTGATATTCCAGCCAGCCAGATTTAGCATGACACTTATCTCTTCACTTGCAATCTCTTCACTTACAATCTCTGTTCTTCATCTGAATTGATCTGTGCCATGATTCTCCGGTGTGTTAATGAGTTTTATGTGTGGTGGAGTGCTGGAGGCCTTCTTAAACGCCAGGGACATCCTGCCTACTGCATTTTATTTATACACCCACTCTGTTACTCTTGACAAAAAAGAAGCTGAGTTGTTTATCTTTAAGTTTTTGACAAAAAATTTGTCTTACAGTAATTTTCTCTGCTCTGGCTGCCCACAGAAGGAAATCCAAATATATTATTCACCTGCTGTTTCAAAACCATTTAAACTTGCCAAGTCTAAGTGGTGTTTTACACCATTGTGCTGATACTCTCAAAGTTGTTATTAACTGCCTCAGAAGTAATTTTTGATTGTGGTTGAATTCAGCAGAAAGATGACAAGGCATGTTCTTTTCTCTGTCAGGCTGAAGCAAAGTAAGGACAATACGCCTGCCCTTGGAAACAAAATGTTTTGGAAGCAGTGTTTCTGTTTTGTTCATTAAAGCTGCCAGAGCCCTCCCTTACCTGCTGCCTTATTTCACTGCTTTTTAAATCCATCCTGACAGAGCTTGGTTAGTGTTTGGGAAGATGTTGTCTAGAACATTCAGCTGTTGTGCATGGTTTGGGAGCTGAGATCCTTTGCTAATCCATTTGGAAATCCCTGTGTTGGTGAGAAACCAGATCTTAGATGAAGCTGTGGCTGCTTGGGTCTCTCTGTAGCTGGCTGGCTTGCCAGGAGGGGCTCTCTCACTCCCCTGTACTTTGCCTCAAACATGAATCTGTGCTTCAAACATGCACACACACATGCAGAAGTGTGTGTTCAGCTTGGTTTTGTTGGGAAAAGGGACTGGCAGCACCACCCAGCAAGGTATCGTGCTCTTCAAACTCTTCTCATCACAAAGCACCACCAGTCTGTGCTCTCTGTCCACTTCCAGATGCTGTCACACAATGGTCAGTCAGTGGAATGTTTTTGCCTTTTCAGAGACTAAGGGTTGCTAGGTCTGTTTTGCAATATCTCATGATCCAGACTCACCAGCTTGGATCACTGATGGAAATCCAGCTTTTCTGGAGATTTCTAGGTCACTGAGAAGCAGAATGTAAAGTATTAAATAGGCATTGAATTTTCACACAGACTACTTTGTTTACTTTCTTTTCTTTTCT